GAAGCGGCCGGGCTGCCACACGAATCCCAGAGCCAGGAGAATTCCACAGGCTGGAGAGCCTGACCCCTGCTGTCTTCTCCCCAGAGTCCAGGCGACAAACCCCCTTTTTCACCCCCACTCTTGTTTTAACATCAGTTTTTCCAGGTGTAACTCGTGCCAGGCTCAATGCTCAGAGAGATTTTAAGTGTGGCTTGTCTCTTTTTTTTCTTTTTTCTTTTGGTTTTTTTTGGTTTTTTTTTGCTTTTTTTCCCCCTAAAGAACCAGGATCTGTGCTGCTTGGACACCGGTCACTGTCATGGGTTGTGCTTTCCAGCTCAGTCATAGAATCATGGAATGGTTTGGGTTTAAAGGGACCTTAAAAACCACCTAGTTCCAACCCCTAAAGCTCTAATTCTGTTGCAGGAAGCAGTTTGTGCTGAGAGATGTCTAAAACACCCAGTTAAAAAGTGAATATTTGCATCAAATAATTGAATGGGGGGAAAAAACCCCAGAAAACAACAAACCAGCAACAGTTTTTGGAAGTAGAAGTTGGAGCCTCCACGTAGGGCGGTGGTTGGTGGGACCTGGTACCCTGTTCCTTTCTCAAATGTGCTGTTAAAAGTTGTTCTTACTAACACATGTTCCATTTCAGAGGCAGTTTGTAGGTAGATTTTTCTCTCCAAAAGAGCAGGAGTTGTTACTCCTGCGTGGATTCAGAGCAGACACCCCGTGTGTGTCCCCCCCTCAGGATGGGCTGAGGTGTCGTGGGCCACAAACCCACGGCTGAACTGAGCCCAGTTCTGCAACCACTCAGTTCTCCAGTTGCCTTTCCAAACATCCCAGTTCTTCTAGAACATTCTGCAGATCTGCTGCACACATGGACCAACTGGAATTCTTTCTCCCTTTAAAGCATAATTCCCAAACTGAGGAGGAAACCGGAGCGAGGATTAAACTCAGTTGTCCTCAGGCCCCTTCAAAGGGAAACAATCTGCTTCCTCTCAGCTTTTTGGGTGAGAGAAATTCCTTGGAGCAGATGCCATTGTCTTCTCCTTCCTCCCAGCTGCTCCAAGAGGCTTTGTCCTGCTATTTTTAAAATCCTTAATAGTTGTTTTGTTCCCAGTGAGGCCTTTCAGAAGTCCCTGAGCTCTGGGGAGGTCTGGCAGCACCAGAGAGACCTCCAGGGTTTGTGGCTGGAGAACTTGAGGCTTCTGGATGCAGGAAAATGGGCTCTTCTATTCCTGCCCAGCTCTGAGCAGGGCTGGAGGAGGGAAGGGGAGCAGGAAACGTGGCTCAGGGGCTGTGCTGCTGGTCCTGATGGTCGTTTGTCTGTGTCCTTGCAGGGTTTGAGATCACTATTGACCATCCCCACACCCACGTGGTGAAGTGCACCCAGCTCGTGCGAGGTGAGGGGCAACTGGGATGGGAAGGGCTGGGAAAAAACAGGGTGGGATGTCCAGCTGGGACTGCTCCAGAGCTTCCCAGAATCCTGGGGTGGGTTGGATTGGAAGGGCAGGGACACCTTCCACAAGACCACATTGCTCCCACCTGGCCTTGGATGTTCCCAGGGATCCAGGGGCAGCCACAGCTCCTCTGGGCAACCTGTGCCAGGGCCTCCCCACCCTCCCAGGGAGGGATTTCTTCCCAGTATCCCATCTAAATCTCCCCTTTTCCTGTGGGAAGCCATTCCCCCTTGTCCTGCCACTCCAGGCCTTGTCCAAAGTCCCACATGATGGTCACCCCAGAGCCTTTTCCAGGCTGAACAATCCCAATTCTCCCAGCCTTTCCTCACAGGAAAGCTGTTCCATCCCTGTAATCGTCCAAAAAGAGGCAGCTTTAAATGATTCTGGCTCTGTTGAACTCCACAAAGCTCTCAGTGAACAGAATTCCCCAAATCCCTTGTGGCTGTGGCCTAGAGTGTGTTAATCCATGGGTGGCATGTGGCCCTTGCACCAAAATAATGATAATGTTTATCAGAATATGCAAGTAACACCCTGCTTTTTCCTTTTATCTTACAGCCAGCAAGGACTTGGCACAAACTTCCTATTTCATGGCTACAAACAGGTTATTATTTTTTTTTATTTTATAATTGATTTTATAATTTGTCTGCTGCTGGTGACTCTGGGGGCATCGCTCAACCTGGGAGCAGCTGGGAATCCCTCAGGAGGAGCCTTAAGAAAGGGTTCCTACCCTTTTTCCTGCCAGCTGCTGGACAAAACCAGCTGGAAAATGAGGCAGGTGGGGTGCTCAGGAGCTTCAGTGCTTGTTTTATGAGAATTTATTTGTGAAAGTTGAAGGAAAACCCAAAGCAAACAAAAAAAGGTGAAATGAATGTATACATTTTTCCTTGCTCAGTCCCAGGTGTTGGAGAGTTTTCACCAAACAAGGTGGTGTGGAAATTGTCCATGAATATGGTTTGTGCCCAGAAAAAGGCTGATTTAGGGTATAAATGGGGTAAAAGCAGAGTTGGGTGCAGGCCAGGAGGAACCTGTGCTGTGAGTAGAACCTTGGAAAGAAAAGTCAGCCCAAGTTCATCCTCTGGGTTGTTTTGTCCCTAAATTTTCGCTTCCAGGCTGTTGCCAGCAACTCGTGTTGGGATTATTTTTCAGTTGAGTTTCCTGGATTACCAGCTTCAGGCAAATCATGGAGTGAATGTCACGGACACAGAAAATGTTGTGTTTTTGTGAAACTAGGGAGGAACAAAAGGTGGTTTGGGAGCCAGCAGGGGTGAAGCTGCAGGGCCAGAGCTGCCTCCGAGCCCTGGGAATGTCTGTGGGCACTGGTTTCCCTCCTCTCCACCTGGGAGGTGTTCCCTGCTCACCTGCACTGTTTGTTGAAGGTGTTCTCAGGCTCCAAAGGGCACCTGTGGATTTCCGGCATCGGGAATGTGATGTTGGTGATATTTGGGTAAACACAGCCCTGAAACCTCTTTTATCCCTGCAGCAAAGCCAAGGAATTGGGAGTTAAGACTGTAACTGAGGGAAATCCAGGCAGAAAGGACGAAGTGGAGCCTCAGTTTTGCCCCAAAGTGATGCCTGAGGGAGATGCCTTGGGGATGAACCGGATTTATCCGTGTGTTCCACTTGGATTTCCCTCTGGCATCGTTATGGGGCAGAGTTGAGGCTCTTTGTGCACCTTAAGTGCACTCTGCCAAGGCTCTGAATTTCCTGCTTCTTCTGGATAAACCCAGGATCCATGAAACCTCAGGATTTTTGGCTGTAGATTCCGTGTTTCTGCCTCTCCACCTTTCACTGGTGGAAAAACGTTCAATAAGGTGGTGAGGGGATGGTGCCTCGTGGGTGCTCAGGGGCTCCTTTTCCTGAAGGAAAAGGAGTGTGTGGGCAGATCCCACACTCAGACTTGCTTCCATGTTTCCTAAAGCTCTGGTGTTCCTGCAGGGAGAGCAGGATCCTTTTAGTCCCTTGGTTCTTGCTTTCCCACTGCTGCCCACACTTCCCAGCACCGAGTGGGAAATTCATTTATTAATGAAAACACTTGGTAGGTGACCTGGCTCAGGTGCTCCTGGGTCACTCCAGCATTGAGTGTGTATTCCTGAAAATCCTTTGGGAAAGACCAGAGCCTTCCTAAAGCTAAAAAAAAGGGCCAGTTTGCTCCTTCAGTGCCATCCAGGAGTTGTGCTTGGAAGTTTCTCCTCAGAGCAGAGGTGGGGCCGGCAGGTCCCCACTGACTTTCCTCTTCCTTGGAGATCCCAAATTTCCTGTAGCAAAACAGGGATGAACAAACAAAACAGGTGGAGGAGATCCCAAAATTTCCTGGAGCAGAGCAGGGCCGGCCAAGCCCAGCGGTGCAGAAACCCCCCCGGGCGGTGGAGCCGGGCCGGGTCCGGCTGTGCCCGGGGGTCGTTCCGGGGAGGTCCCGAGGGCCACCCCCACATTCCCCCCCGTGTCCCGCGTGGATGCTGCGGCTCAGGCGTGGGAGTTGATGGCTTTCTGTTTTCTCTCCCGGTGACGTCAGCCTGCACCTGACCACCTTCAGCCTGCAGTACACCCCGCCCGTTGTGGCCTGCGTCTGTATCCACCTGGCCTGTAAGTGGTCCAACTGGGAGATCCCAGTCTCCACGGACGGGAAGCACTGGTGGGAATACGTTGATGGCACTGTAACTCTGGAGCTCTTAGATGGTAAGTTTGGGAGCGAGGTGGTTTTCCCCCCTCCAAAAAAAAAAAAAAAAAAAAAAAAAAAAAAGAAAAGAAAAGGCTCTTAAATTATTTTGGCATCTTTGGTCCTGGGTCTGATGTTCCAACACCACCTCACGGGCTCCAGGATTTCAGGGCTTGCCGAGGTTTCCAGGGCAGCAGCAGCTTCTGTAGCACCACAGAGAGATGAGTTTAAATGTGTCAGTGGTTCCAGTTCTCAGAGTTCCCCTCCCGGAGCAGCTCCATCCCACCAGTAGCTCCATCCATCAGAAGAGGGGGTTGTCCTGAGGGACCAGGGCTGCTCTGACCCTCCTGCTTGGGTTTGTGTCTCCTCTGCAGAACTGACCCATGAATTCCTGCAGATCCTTGAGAAAACTCCCAGTCGGCTTAAACGGATCCGGAACTGGCGGGTAAGAAACTTTGGACATTCTCTGTGATTCCTTTGGGAATGACAGTGCAGGACAGTGTCTGGGAAGGGAGCGTGTGTGTGGAATCTGAATGCTGGGAGTGGTGCTCGAGTTTGTCTGTACTGAATTAACTCTGGAGAGACTTTGGTTTTCCAGCTGCAGTAGCAGCCTGGCTTCCAGGGCTTGGGAATCTTCCCACAAGGAGGGATGGGGGCAAAATCTGTCTGTACTGACGAGCTCCAGCGACACCCCAGAGTAAACACCCGGCTGGTCTTTCAATTCCAGGCCTCTCAAGCAGCCAGAAAGTCCAAGACCGACGACCACGGCGACGACGAGAACCTGTCGGAGCAGACCATCCTCAACATGATCTCCAGGAACAACAGCTCGGACATGAACATCGCCGGGCTCATGAGCATGTCCACGTCCTCCACGGCCGGCGCGGGGCCAGCGCTGCTGCCCGCGG